AAGACAACACACATACCAAAGGGCAATATTCTCCCAGGAGAGCCAAGTCTTGTGAGTACCAGTGGCTTCACCACGAACCTGAAACTTGGATACTGACAGGGCGAGGAGGTGGTGGCAAGGCTGAGCTGGCATTACTCCGGCCCCACCCAGCACCTTGTACAGGCCCCTGAGTCACCCCAAGCCCCAGGAAATTCCCTAGGGATGAGCCACCGGTGACACTGCTCCCCTGAGCACAGCTGGGTCGGGGCAGCACGGGAAGCAGGAAACTGCACCTAGGTGAGGCAAACACAGCCTCAGGTGGACTTTATTCCCTGAGCAGACGGTGCGGCTCACAGGCAGGTCCACCTGAAGTAGCAAGAGGAAGTGGGGCAGAGCCTACTTCAGGCTTTGGCCTTTCGGAAGGACAGGGACATCCCATGCCCACCCCATAGGATCAGAGCTCACCAACACCACTTTTCAGAATGCACGTTTGATTGCTATTTCCTAAAGGGGAAGAAAAGTTCCTAGGCATCCCTCTCATCCCTACTGAGCCATCAACTTCTCTAGCTCTAGGGCTCAGAAGGTTCTAGACCACACATGGCCAAGGGGCAGAGGCTTGAGCTACAAGGAGAAGGATCTAAAAGGTGCCATCACTCCAGTACCCTTGGCACTGTGCTTTTCTGTGCCTTTGCCCCAACCTGGAAGCTGGCACCCCTGGGACCAGCTTTTCCAAATATTGTTCTCCCTCCCCAGACATTATTTTCTCCCAACCCACCCCATGCCATAATATCCCCTCAACCTGTGTAACTTAGACCCATCCTTCATGTCTTGGATGAGAAGCCACCCCGTCTAGGAACCTTCTCCTATGCCCCAAACCTATGGGACCCTTTCTATGTACTCTTATGCGCCCCCCCACCCCAGGTTTCCCCTGCTGCAGCACTCACTGAGTGATGTTGTGACTCATTTGAGACCCTCTGCCCCAGACTGTAGGTGACTTATGGGCAGGGGTCTTATAGGGCCGATTTGGCAAATGAATAATGATGGTGAACAAACTGAGCTGAAAGTCGGTGCATCGAGACCTACTTACTGTCTAACCCCCCCTAAACCAGCAAGGACCTTCTCGAGCTGGAGCACAGCACTTTGTTACTCTGTGTCTCAGCTGGAGGGGGTGACTTCCCAGGTGCTCTACATGAGCCTCTTATTTTGCAGATAAGGATACAGTGGCAGTACTGGGACCAGTCCGGTGTTGCCTTCCGCAGCACGATTCAAGGAGGACCAATTAACAGGATCATTTTGGTGAAATTGTTCGAGCATCTCAGAAGAGACGCCCCTGGGAAATGGGGCACTGCTACTTTTTCCTCCCGCCTCAAAAGAGCCTTTATACTTAATCAGCTAAGCCTTTCTACAGAACCAGCAGGTGGAGGTGACATCAAGTCATTCCAGCACCAAAGACAAAGACCCAAGTTCCACCCCCACCGTTAACCCCTAGACCTATGGCATTCTGATGTCCTTCACAGCGCACTGCACAGTCAGGCAATTACCCCCACCCCACCCTTCCCCATCAGTCCCAACTGGAACAATAGGGCAGGGACTTGTGGCCTAAGAACTTTCCCAGATTAGACCTGGGGTCAGTCAGCTCCTATGGGGAAGCTAAATGGAAAAGACCCAAGTCCCAAATGGATTTCACAGCCAGCCAGGTCACAGCCTTAAAGCAAAGAATTAATCACAGTCCCCACCCCCGCAGCACAATCAGATTTGTCTCTAAAGGGTATCTTCTGAGGGTCACTCTTTGGGGACCCCACTGTGAGAGGATGACAACATAAGCACACTTCAAGCTCAGAAACTAAAGTTTTTACTTGGAGACGTTTTCTCTGGTCGAACCTAATAGCTGCCTGCCTGCAAACCAAGCTCACATTTTGAAAGTAGTGCCCGTGCCCAAATCCTCCTAAAGCTAAACCAAAGCATAACAACCAAAACTGCTAAAATGTCCTAAGTTCATACGTATTAAGTCACCCCTCATAACAACTTTATGAGGTGGGTACTAATATTACCCCCATTTTACAGATGCAGACACTAAGGCCACAGAAGAAGTAAGTGATAGGGCCTGGATATGACCTCAGACACTCGGGCTCCAGAGTTCCACTCTCCTGCCCACTGCCTTCCTAAAGGATTTCACGCCAGCCAGCTCCACAAGCAAAGGATTAGTCACAGACCCTGGATGCCATGGCTTTGCCTCAGTATAAGCTATGGGGGACATATGCAGACTTGCAAGATTGGGCTTATAACATGACATTCCAAAAAACTGAGAGTTAGGATTCCTTATGGCTATTTCTGGACCTGCTACTATGTAACCTCTGGCCATTCGTTCTCCCGTTGGAACAACACGGTACAGTACAGACTGCAGGTCAAAGCATCACAGGTCACGGGGAAGCAGAAAGGAGAAGGGAAAACGCATGAAGTCTCCAGGATCAGACTGTAAATTGCTCAACGACAAGAGAAGCGCTGTCGTCACCAGGAGACCCATGATCACAGGGCCCTCTCTACTGGGCAGGAGGCTTGGCTGGATAGGAACGTAGAGCCCAAGAGAGGAGGGCGGGAGAACAAAGGAGCAGTGAGGACAAACAGAGCAGGGTCCAAGGTCGGGCTGTGAGGAGGCGCCACCTGATGGTGCCAGATGAGAGACGTCACATCGGGCAGGTGTGTTCCGGCCCTAAGAGGCTGCCCCGAGCCATTACGTGTGTGCAGCTCAGACTCCCACAGCATCGGCTAGAGCACCTGCCCACATGCTCCCCAGGGAGGGCCAACCCTGTCTTCCTACCTGATGAGCATCACCCCCTATTGTAAGAGTCACCCCCAAGCCAGGTTGAGAACCTGGGTCTTCAAACTGGTCCCGGAAGACACTGTCTGCCAGGGAAGTACTCACAGAAGGAGACAATGCCCACGCCCCCCATCCTACCACACTCAGTTAGTTCCCCTAAACATCCCCCAGCCATGACCGCTACCATCTTTCAACATGAATCAATCCAGTCAGTCATCAACCAGTGAAGTCAGTCTTCTAGAACACTGTATATATCAAGTCCTACACCTGGGAAGCCCTCTTTGACAAGGTCCCCGAAGACCTTTCTTTTTGATGGGCCTAAAGAAGACGCTCGGACATATACCTTCATGGACATAGGGGCAGGAGAGAAGAGATTGGTTCCCCTTGCCACCACCACCCCACCCCCGTCTAAATTTAAATGTAATCCACACCCTTCCTCCACCCACACCAGTCTGNAACCCTGTCTTCCTACCTGATGAGCATCACCCCCTATTGTAAGAGTCACCCCCAAGCCAGGATGAGAACCTGGGTCTTCAAACTGGTCCTGGAAGACACTGTCTGCCAGGGAAGTACTCACAGAAGGAGACAATGCCCACGCCCCCCATCCTACCACACTCAGTTAGTTCCCCTAAACATCCCTTAGCCATGACCGCTACCATCTTTCAACATGAATCAATCCAGTCAGTCATCAACCAGTGAAGTCAGTCTTCTAGAACACTGTATATATCAAGTCCTACACCTGGGAAGCCCTCTTTGACAAGGTCCCCGAAGACCTTTCTTTTTGATGGGCCTAAAGAAGACGCTCAGACATATACCTTTATGGACATAGGGGCAGGAGAGAAGAGATTGGTTCCCCTTGCCACCATCACCCCACCCCCGTCTAAATTTAA